TCTCTCTCTCTCTCTCTCTCTCTCTCTCTCTCTCTCTCTCTCTCTCTCGATCCAACTGCCTCACCTCTTCTTCGAAAGCGACGATGGCCGCGCCCTCCGCGGCCCCCATCCCCCGCAGCACCGCCGCCGCCGCCGCCGCGTGCGCGTCCCCAATCCTCCTCAGCATCGCGTCTCGTCGCCCACCACCACTACCCGTCCCACCCTCTTTCCTCCGTGCCACCGCGGAGCCACCCTCCCCCCCGTCGGCTCCGCTATTTACAGGCATCCCCGCTGCGGTCCCCGCCGCGGCTTCGGTGTCCCCGGACGCGGAAGGAGTTCTCGGTTCTGGAAGCGGAGGCATTTCTCCTCGGGGCGATGGGGTGGCCGTAGCTGGGTCGCCATCGGCGCCTCCGCTGGAAAGGGGAGCGGGGGGGAGGGGGGGCGCTAGGCTCGCCAGCACCTTGCCACAGAGGCGGAGCACGAGGTGGTGCCGTCGGGGCCTCGGAAGAAAAGGCGTTGGCGGGACGGGGACAGTACTCTCGTGGCCCCGCTCCGACCCCGCCGCCTCTTCCCGCCCCCCCTTCGGGTGGACCCCTCCTTCCCCACCGCTCTCTAGGGCCGACGACGGCGCCCCCTCCTTCGCGCCCGCCGCCGTACCCACAGCAACCACCCCTGCCGTCTCCTCACCGCTTTCTCCTGCCCCCTCTCCCCGCACGGCCTGGGTAGCCGTCGAGGGTGCGAGCATGCAGCACAGAGCGTCCACGGCCGCGTCCAGCATTTCCATACCCAGGGGCCGCGCGGACAGGTCCGCGGCTGCTGCGCCTCCCTCCCCCTCTCCCCCCCCCGCCCCTGCTGGTGCTGGTGCTGGTGCTGCTGTTTGTTGCCCTCCTTCTTCGGCATAGCCACCGTTTGGTTGGCCATCGGCCGCTCCTGTCCCTCCTGCCGCTGCATCGGGTAGTCCCTCGTGGTATTGGGCGGAATTGTACGCGGTGTCTTGCGTCAGGCCGAGGTCGGTTCTCACAACTTGGTTCTGCGCGAGAGCCTGCGGTTCGATTGGGCGTGCCGTCCATCAAGAAAGCGCCATCGGGATTTGACAAGCACAGAAGGGTCTCGGGGACCTGTAGCTACACCTCGTGTCCACTTGTGTATCCCCCCCGCGCGCGCCGGCGCTCTCCGTAACTCAAAACGTAACACGAAGGCCCTGTTAACCACAACGACATACAACTTGCCGTACGCATACATCGCCGGTGACAATACTTACGGCAGGAAAGAGAAAGGGGAAGCGGTCCATCAACAAGTTGGCGAGGAAAGCACACGTGGGGTAGAAAACTCGTTGGTGAAGCACCAGCACAAAACACAACGATCGCACAAAAAAAAAAAACCTACAAAACCCCTGCTAGCTTCGGCGCCTTGAGGCCAAGCATCCTTCACCTGCAAAACAACTAGAGCCCCCAAGCATAGCTCCTCCCTGTCCCCCTGCAGCAAGGCCAGCAGGGGAGGGGCGCGCCCCACCCCCGATCCAGCCCTCTCCTCGCCCCCCGCGGCCGCGCCGATGTTGTCCACCTCTGCGGTAGACGACGGCGGGGCCGCTGTTGCTGCTGTTGTTGCCGCCGCCGCCGCCACCGCTCCTACGGGCCTCAACTCTTGAGTAGCCTCGCTCCCTAGGGTCTCCAGCACCAGAAGGCGCACAAGCGGGGGGTGCGTCACGACTATGAAGAGTTGCGCCAAGGCGCACAATGCCACCTGATAGGAAGGGCCAACATAATGGAGTTTGCGCGGGGGGGGGGCGGGGCGCCGAACAACTAAAATTTATGAAGTGGTTAAACCTGGAAAATAGATCTGCATGTGGTATTTCGAAAGAAGGGCTTCTGTGAGCCAGCTGGAAGGTGCAACTTTTGAGGAGGCCAGGCGGACAGTGGGTGTGCACCAGGCGTAAAAAAAGCAACCCTATACGGCGCTGCTGCCGTGCAAGGGTATGATCAAGTGGGATGAGACGGAAATATCAACAAAAGTCGCAGTGCTCGTGAGGGTGAGAATGGGGGTGATGAAGTCGTCACGGCGGGCGATGGGGAGGGGAGGCAGCACGTAAATGCAGCAAAAATGAGCTCCTTGAGAGTTGCAAGAAACGAAGTCATAATGAAGGAAGTCCATGAGGAGTTCCAAGATAAACAAAAAGTAGGCACCTAGGCACCTATCCCATCATACCGTCCGTGTCATACCTGTGGGAACATTGCTCCGGACCGTCCGCTGAGCCAGTCGCCCAGGAGCATCGGCCGCACCAGCCGGCCGAGCAGAGACTCGCACAGCTCAGCGTTCAGCTCCCGCTGCCCACTCGCGAACACGTCCTCGAGGTAAAACACCTGTGTGTTTCGTGAGATGTTGCCAAAAGCGCCACACCAGCCGTGAATTGGCGATGAACACAAAATCATACCGCAGAACGTACACGGTTGAGTTTTGCACGAAAGGGACACAGAAAAAAAGGCATTTCACCGCGTTGCTGCGGCACACTCACGCCACACCAGCAAAACCAACACTCCCCGACAGGACGATCGATCGGAGTGGCCTGCAGCACTGAAGAAAAAAAACAACAATCCATCACGGCATGACACCCCAAAGCCAAAAGCGCACCTGATCTTGGAGCCCGGCTATCGAGTCCCGACAAATCGTCGGGTCAACAGCCGCAGCAGCAGCTGCAGCAGCAGCACCGGGAGCTCCCTCTGCACCTCCTCCTCCTCCTCCACCGGCCCCCTTACCGCCACCGCCTACCCCGGCGGCCATGGCGCTGTCCGCCAGGACGAGGCACTGCGAGCGCAAGGCCCCGACGAGGCGGTCGGGAAGGGAGGCCGAGCGAGCCGCCGGGCTGTTGAGGTACGCGCGCACCAGGGGGTCCCGCTGGTTGTAGATGTTGAGGACCACCGTCAGCGCGGCGATCCGGACGTGGAAGTCTCCGTGGCAGATGTACTCCAGCGCCCGAGTGTAGAGGGGGAAAGACGACCCTTCCTCCTCCTCTTCGCCCCGCCCCCCCTCTTCCCCCCCCTCCACCTCATTGTGCCGCTTCTCTTCCCCCGCCGCTCCTCCTCCTCCTGCGCCATCTCCAGGCTCCGCTGTCTGCGGTGTCGAACCCCCAGCTCCACCTCCCGCAGAACAAGCACCGTTCTCGAGCTCGCTCCCCACCTCTTTTCGTCCGCCACCTGCAAGGGTCTCACTCGTCACCGCCGCCGCCACCGCCGCCGACGAGGCCGGTCTCGTCGTGGTCAAATCGGCAGTTTCGTCATCGTCCACTCCGGATGCGGGTGGGGGCTGGGGTTGCGCTCGCGATTTCCGCCGCGGTCCCCGGAGGAAAAACTGGTCGTGCCGGGGGCGTCAGCGTTTGAAAGTGGGGCATCCCATGCGGAAGTGGAG